ATGTTAAAGAGTTGATTTCGGAAGAACTTATGCCCAGAATCCAAATGCTTTTGGGGAAAATGCGCCCGAAGACTTGCACAAAAAGATGCAATAAACAAACTAGCGCAGATACTTAAATAAAAAAAATCAAGAAATAAACTTCCACAAAACACTTAAGCAAGAAGGAATGTAAAGATTAAAACTTGCGTGAATGTTCAAACAAAAGAACGCATGAAGACTCATGCAATGCTTGAGTAAAAGATACTTTTATTCATAATAAAAGTGCCAAAACGACACGAGTACAAAAATTGGGAAAAGGAATGAAAGATAAACTATTGCGTCTCCAAAACCAGGAGAAAGGGAAGCATTCGCGCCCCCAAGGGAAGTGGGTAGATTCGTCGCCGGTTCGATATCTTGGCCTTCATCATTTTGGTCCTCAACATCGTCCCCTTTCGGTTCCTCTGCAGTTTTTGAGAACTCAAAACTAGAACCAGAAGAATCGGTAGCATCATGTATGGCCGGAAGACCTCTTTTTGTGGCTAACTCCAACTCAAGGGCCTTAGCAATTTCGGCGTCAAAATCTACGACACCTGCTTTGGCCTCTTCCAAGGTTTTTCTCCTCATGCTTTACATAGAATGTGTCTTGCTCGGGGATGAAGTTCTTCTTTAAGTTGGTCAACCTCGGCATAGAGATTCTCCCGCACGGACCTAACGGACCGGAGGCTAACACCGAGATCACGGATAGTGGAGTTGAAAAGTCTATTATACTCAATGGTCCTCTTATACTTCTCCTCCAACTGGGCATATTTCACCCCGACAACAGTAAGTTCTTCAGTTTTGAAGTCCAAGACTATCTCTAAATTATTTGATCATTGAGTAGAGGCAGCCTTACGATTGGATGCAGCAATAACAGCGCTACGGACTTCAGCCTATTTGGCCTTACCCTCTTCAAATTGAACCCCCAACGAGGCGATCTCTTAGCTAAGGGTCTCTACTTCTTGCTCATTTTGATGCAAACGAGACTCCAACATAATAGCCTCCACAGCTTTGGCTTCTAGTTCTAAGAGGCAACCAGTAGTTTGGTCCCGCTCGGCCAAAAGTTGATCCCGCTTGGAGGTAAGTTCCTCCTTTTTTCTGAATCAACCTTTGAAGGCCTTTGGAAGTAAGGAAATTAGCCTGAAACAAGAAAGGAAAATTCAAAAATTACTAAATCAAAGATAGATGAAATGACAAAGGAAATAAAGAATATACCGATGCGGCGTTGTGCATAGCATTGCTCAACAAGCACTCTCGAGAGAGAGCCTGTATCTTTTCCAAATCATTTTTTGATGCCAAAGGCTTTAGATAGTTAGCAAGTTTCACTGGCCGGGACAACATATTGCACCCGATGGAGACCAAGAGAGTAACACTCCCGCTCCTTTGCGGATCTTTTGAGGGGGCGGCATAATTTTGCCCAAAATTTCCATGAACTGGGGTAATCAGGCAGAAGGAAACTTATCTTCAAAATCATTGGTGGTAATCAGGCTCTTTGGGACAATGGTACTCATCGTAGGGAGCGGCATAGTTAGCTTTGCCTTTGTTCTTTGAAGAACTAGGTTTTCTTGAAGAGGAAGCCATTTATTATTAGTGAAAGAGTTTTTTTTTTCTCAAAGAAGGAAGTTGAAGAAAGGTTGAAGAAAGGTTGAAGTCGGAAGATGAGTTGAGTAAAGAAAGTCTTAGAAAATTCAGAGTGTTATGAAGTGTAAATTAAGGAAGTTGATGCGTATAAGTAAAGGTTTAGGCGGCTAAACATGTAGCCATAATTACCTTGATAGCCGGCAAAGGTTATGCTAAATCATGGGATGATGCGTGTTCGGGGTATTAAATGTGGAGAGGCATGCGTCTAATCAACCGTTAGAAGCTTTTCAGCGAAGGTCTGTGAAATTCCCGCCAAAAAGAATGTTTCTACCAACTTCCTAGTGACACAACGTTAAGTCATCGGAAAGTAGGGGGACTATCTGTATAGGGTAAAATATGGTATGTTAAGTGATTGCATAAGGGAGTGACACGTGGAGCCGAAAGCGGAAGATAGCCAAAACCGAAGACAACTATTCCATTTATTACTAAAAAGAATGGTACTCATAAAGATAAAATAAATTCCTACCATCCGGTAGCATTTAATGGAGAATATTCTACAACATTTAATGCACTGCCCGTTATAAAAAAATTGTTATTCATGCCTATCGTTACACATTCTTCAATGGCCCTCATAATTGATATTAAAGAAGGGCATGATCCTAGGACCTTGTTTCCTAGGTGCAGCTATATATAATGAGTTATATTATCATGGCACTTATGCTACAATTTGTTGAAAGCTTTATACAATTTTAACTTCTTGCTTTTTGATTTCATTATTGCTGTACCCGGAAACCCTGCTTCTGGAACCACTGTTTCTACTGTTTCATTTTCATCCCAAGGCTAAGTATTGCATATTTATTCAATTCTTCTATTATTTCAGGATCAAACTAATCACTTGTCTACAAACCACGTATAAATTCAGTTATATCGTTTTACGGGCAAACAGAAGAAGGAAGGTTGATCTCCATATTTGCATTCATCTTAATGTATATGATGTCGGTACTATTTTTCTTTCTCTTAGATGTTTAACACTTACAAAGTGCATGATAGTATCGGTGGTTCTCTAGAAAATTATGCAAATGACTACTTTGTACTATCTTAATTACCTTTTGCCCAGGCCTTACAAGTATGGTAAACTTTATTCTTTCGTGTACAAGTATGGTACGATCTTGATTATCTTTTGTCTTTAATGGAGAATATTCTACAATATTTAATATATTGTATGTTATAAAGAATTTGTTATTTATGTTCGCCGTTATATATTCTTCAATGACCCTCATAATTAACATTAAAGAAGGGCATGATCTTAGGACCTTGTTTCCTAGGTGCGGCTATAAATAATGAGCTCTATTATCGTTGTACTTACGCTATAATCTGTTGAAAGCTTTATACAATTTTATTTTCTTGCTTTTTGATTTCATTACTATTGTACCCGGAAGCCCTGCTCCTGGAACCACTGTTTCTGCTGTTTCATTTTCATCTCAAGGCTAAGTATTGCACATTTTTTTAATTCTTCTATTATTTCAGGATCAAATTAATTCATTTATCTAGAAACTACGTATAAATTTAATTATACCATTTTACGGGCAAACAGACACCTGGGAAGGTTGATCTCCATATTTGCATTCATCTTAATGTATATGATGTCGGTACTATTTTTCTTTGTCTTAGATGTTTGAACACTTAGAAACTGCATAATAGTATCGGTGGTTCTCTAGCAAATTATGTAAATTACTTCTTTGTACTATCTTAATTACCTTTTGCCTAGGCCTTACATGTTATTTCTACTTTATTCTTTTGTGTATAATTATTTACTCAAAGTTATATTTTAATATTATTAAAATTATGTTACAATACAATGCACTACCTGACTCGACATACATGTATGGCGCACGTATCGAGAGATTAGTTATTATAAAATAAAAAAATACTTACATAAACATATCAAAAAATAAAATAGTCCCCACTCACTTAGCCAAAGAATCTATTACACTAAAAAGATCCATGAAAAAAAAAAAAGATAACTTTTAGTGGGTGTGATTAAAATTCGTTGAAAATACATGGACGAGGATATATACAAAATTTTGAGGCAAATCGGGGGTGAGTTTGACTAGTTTGGAGTCAAAATTTGTAGTTGCAATCGAATCGAAGAAACATCAGTATCACATGTATATATTGTTATATATCCGTGTATAATACAAACAGGTAGACATGAATATACATAGATATATAGGAAGTTACAATAGATTTACAGGGAGCTGCATAAGGATACACAAATATACAACGTAATACGTATAGATATATACACGTTTTGCTACCAAATGCGTTAGGTATTTGAAATCTGAATGTAATTCCAACTCAACTCTCTCAAATCTTCTTTAAAGCTCTAGTACAACAACAATAACTACGCTTCACGTAATTAGCTTCAAAAAATTTGTTCAAATTCGTTTCAAATCAGCTTCAGATGAACAAAAATTTCATTTACAGGTTCCTTCAAACAATAACAACAGAATCTAATTATTTTTCTTTTCAGATTCCTAACCCTCGAGCTAGCCATTGTTGCGTAGCATTCCTCCAAATAGCCTACTGCTCCGGAGGTTGCGCATGGTTTTGGGTCACTACTAGCCATGAACTATGTTTTTTTTGGATTCAGATTAAAGATTAAGATTAGAAGAATTAACCCAAATAGCCGTCCATTCAACCACTTAAACTAAAAATAGTTAGTGACTGTATAATATATGTGCATATTTAATGTATTATATGCGTATATTTGAGTATAATTAATATGCAGTTAAATTTGGATCTAACAAGTTCTGATCTTTTCTGTTTGATATTGTTGTGCTACTTTATAAGAAGTTTCGAAACTTCTCTAGTAGAAGAGAAGCACAGAACCTAAGTGTCAGCCACTGAACAAAAACTAGGGCTAAAGTGGATGATAGTTGAGATTGAGCCAAAATGGATATTTATTTTTTCATTTGTCATATTATGTAGTTTTCTCTAAAATTAATTTCCAATTAAAAATTCTTTTTTTCCAAAAACTGAAGGAGAACAAATGCCACATAAGAGTTAGGATAAAACTTGTTAGTGAAATGTTTAACAGATCCGTTCCGAAGGAGAGAATTTCAAGATGATAAAATAAAGACCTTAAAAAGTAGCGAAATAGACCTTAGAAAGACCAACCACCAACGAGTTTAGAGTGGTCTACTACGCATATAAATTTCAAGGATCGTACGAGATTGTAAGATAGGACAGCAAATATCTACAACAACATACCCAGTAAAATTTCACTAGTGGAGTCTGGGGAGGGTAGAGTGTACGCAGACCTTACCCCTACCCCGGAAGGGTAGAGGGGCTGTTTCCGGGAGACCCTCGGCTCAGTAGAAGAGAAGGACAGCAAATATCTATTGAAAAAATTAGCAAATTCTGCTTACCATTTTGTGGAAGACGTTGTGTAGTCCCATGCTAGGCCAAAAGGAATCATGTAATTTGTGCTGGGCAACTTTTAAATTGAGGTAAAGAAAATTAAACAAACCACTTTTAGCGGGGTTAAAGCATAGCTTTTTTTGCTCGGAGTAACCCCGTTTAGTTTTAAAAAAAGCATCTATGAAAGCTGGAACATGCAGATGACAGAATAATTTTGGTCAAGTCCATTCCAGACTAGAATTACTATTTCTAGTCATATCATTCTTTAATGAGGGAGGATAGATGGTAGCTTCATACTCACCATTGCTTCTTCCCCTTTTTCTTTCTCTTGCTTCCACTTCCGCTTCCACTAGCGTTGTTGCTAGTACTGTTGCCAGCTGATCTCTGTGGTGTGCTGCCATCAAAATCACCAAAAGTACCAGATTGTACGGCATTCTGTAGCCACTCAACAAATTCCTCCTCGGTCATGGTCTCTTCCACACTTGGGCCTCTTTGTCCTGAGCTACTTCTCTTCCCATTGCTGCTCTTCATGGTTACACTTGTATTTACATGGAAGCTTGGTTTGTGACTGTTGACCGGACATCTCATTCCCTGCATGCCCAGCATAATGTGAACTAGATTATCTAAGATACAGAGCTGCACTTGCTCAGTTGTTTTAACCAACTCTAGAGGCACCCTTCCATTTTGAAATAGGTGAGCATTTTCTGTTGGCTCAAAAGAGATGCTCATTTATGGGAGTTAATCTTTTCCTAAATATGGAGAAAACAACAGTATAGCACCCATGGCAGATATAACTGAACATCATCCAAGCTTAACAAGTAACTGGTGATGGATTTGATTTTTTTAGGGGCATTTCTTGATGATAAAAAGCAAAAAGAATTCAATGAAAACAATAATGCACTTTTGACCTTATAGTCCTAACAACAAGTTCTTCTCATTTCCACACCAATTCCATTCAAACGTCCGGAAAAAATTGAAACCTTATACCAGATGGTGAGAAGAAAAACTTTACCTGACAGATATACCATTCAGTAGCATTATAGATCCTGCTATCAGCACAAACATAGGCAACAGGATTATCTACCTGCACATATTGGTGGAGATCAATAGTGTCACATATACCGCAAGGATGAGAGAAATAAGAAACTAAAGAAAAAACAAAATACTTAAAGAAGAGACTCGTCATGAAAGAAAGTCTTCTCAAAAGCTTTTGCTTTTTTCATTTTGTTCAGTTAGTTGATACCTTCAGTAGCATTCCAAAAAAGAATGGATGTGAAGGCTGTTCAACCCATCCATCTCCATCTTTTGCTGGATGAAAATCATTGCATTCCTATGAATGGAAGAGTAAGCGGTAAATATCCTAATAAAAAACGTATGCTAGAGAGGAGGAAGACAAACTAGAATGTATGGTTAAAGTGCACAGAATTCAAGAATTTATAACATGCTTATATTGTCCTGGAGGGAAAACCTGGCACCATCTTGCTTTGGACTTAGTTTTCTTAGTGAAAACCCAGACATGAAAGTTGCCACACTTCTTGCAAGTAATTCGTCGAGCGTCTGCAAGAGAATCCTCTGCCGCAGCTTCTGTCTGTGTGAATCCAGAGGTAAAGAACCCATAGCCTCTACCCTAAAATTGTTTGGTTAAGCATGAGACAGAGTTAGGTGAAAGTATAATCCAACATTACAATTTCACACTTCAGGAGTATTTTCCAAATATAGTTTCTGGTACAAGATGATCCTTCCCCATAAATACATAGGACCTACAAAGACATGGGACTGCATTTAGAACAAGACCTTTACTGATAGATGTCATTACATATATCATGAACCTACAGGGGCTCACTCCTATATATAATCGAGTTAACCTGGCAAAGTAGGCAAAAGAGTTAAGACGTAAGACTGCATGTGAAAACCCATTATTACTTAAAGCTGTTCCCATTAAGAACCAGCTGGTTTTTCAGCAAAAGGTGATGACCGAGGGCTTAAAGGCATATATCTTTCACAAAACATAAGATTTGTCAAGGACTTCACCAATCTCTTGTTTTAGTTAGATATCTTTTAAAAGTTCCTTATCTATTGTAGAAAAAGAAAGTTGCAAAAATTGAAGCAAAACATCTTTTTGCTGAACTCACTGCATATTTGACATATGCATAAAATGTCAAGTCTAACAGATGAACTAATTAGGTGACTCAAAATTATTATTATTTTTGATGTGAGAATGGTTAATTAGATGACTCAAAATGATATTAATTCAAACCTTCTGCGAAGGACTTTGGAACCGCCGAAGGTAGTCCAGCAGCTCTTCCCTCCTCAATTCATCATCATATGCTTTTCGCTTTAAAGAATCAAGTAAGACCTGAAATAATCCAATTCTTACCAAGTGCAGAAATGAACACCAAATAGAGAACTCAAATCACAAGACAAACTGTACCTCGTAGGCGTTTTGAAGTTTCTTAAAAGCTTCAGCAGCCTTTTCATTGCCCATGTTTTTATCAGGATGAACCAGCATTGCCTAATAGAAGATATACTTAGCTGATTGGTAATATTTTGACTTTGATAGCAAGGCATTTCTAGTTAATCTACCATTATCAGACTTCAAACAGCATGATGTTCAGAAAAATCAGATACGAATATTTTTGAGAAGGGGAATTTCAGGAGGGTACAGAAGAATCACCTTTTTCCTATATTCCTTCTTGAGAACTGAAGCATCTATATTCTGAAATCGGCTCAGGCCCAGTGCTGAATAGTGATCTGTACTGTTTAACAATCTGAGAACTTCGTCTTCAGATGTCATATCAGTGTCAAATCCACTAGTTGAAGGGATCCCAGTGCCACGATCAGCTGTATGAACATACACATCATCAGCAGATGGAGGCACTGATCCACCAGAATAGAAGCTAGGTTCACCTTGTACTCCAGTTGTTTGATCAGGAGAGCTGTTTGGCCTTCTATAATCATTTACATTGTTTCTTAAGAAGAATATGAGAATATCACTCGAAACAAATGATAAATTCAAACCAAAGATTAAACCAAGCCATCCGACATATGTCCATGCGCAATATACAGAATACAAATTTACGACAAACACCGCAAGCCGTTCATGCTTCAACCTGTAAAGCACTCCTAAATTTATAAAGAAAAACAGCACTTAGTGGAAAAAACTGGAATCAATGTGATAAAAGTAAAAGCAACTGCTCAACACTAAAGCTTAAAAGTAATCACCTCCACTCAAGACCAGAAGCACCGCTGCCCAAAATCTTCCATAGAACCATAAGTAACTGATGCTCACTGCAGCAACTCCTAGAACTGCGATGATGAACCCAGTAAGAAGTCCAATCACAGCAACTGTTGCCTGAATGTTAACAGCAATTCATTACAGCAAGATGATTGAAAGGTCTCATATATGCAGTTTAACGGAAGGAATATAATCAATGATTACAAAGAAAACACAAAGGCAGAGAGTGACCACAGGAAACTCCACCAAATCAAGCCACTAATTTTATCAAATTTACAGTCTTAGAAACTGCTGAAGAAATTGGTCAGTGCCCTGAATGAAAAGAAATATTTCACTTAAAAACTATAGTGACCACCTTCAGTAATTCAAGAAGCATTAACAGAATAAGATGGAGTCATGGAGCAAAGTATACCCAGTCAAAATCAGTAAAAGTCAACTATTAAAAACTCAAAGCATGAAATGGTCAAACTCAATAGTGGACACTGATTTTTGTCCAAAACAATTTAAACAAAATCACTTTTAGAAATGGCCAAAACTAATTTAGTGACTTTGGGAAAACAATCCATAGCTCCTCAACGCGATTTCCGGAATTCTGGTTCAGCATGAAATCATTCATGAGCCAACCCAAAGATGAGAAGCAATTAGGGTTAGATATATATGCTCAGAAACACCTTTTATTATGTGAGGGGTGAAGATGCTGTTTTCCATGCAAGAAAAGAAGCTAGTCACTTACCAAAATTAATAGAAACTTGAATTTAGCGGCTGCAATCAAAGATAGAACACCCCACCAGATGACTGAGAGAATTGAAGTCATCCCCATGCATAGAAAGGACTCAATTCCTCTAAGAGCGCAATCCAACCAAACCATTGATAATAGAATAATTATATTTCCAAAATGCATGATCCACCTAACCACTATAGGATATGCACGCTGAACCCTTTCTTGAACATACCCAGTCGCAATGAATAAACTGTGCATGATCCACCGAACCACTATAGGGTATGCATGCTGAACCTTTTCTTCAACGTGCTTACTCGCAATTAATAAATTGCTCCTTAAAGAGTCAAGCAAAGGTTTCCACCTCTCTAACCACTGAATTGATGCCTTTGAGACAGACAGAGCCAATGTCATCAAGTTCCTAAAAACTACGATAATAGACACTTCAAAATTTTCTAATATATTGTCTTTATCTAATCCTGGTCCGAACTGGCCAAAACTTCTATTTGAATTGTCTGAGCGGTGACTAGTGTGCGGAGACGTCTCACCACCTTCTCTTGACTCGGGAGCCACCCCTCTACTTTTATGACTTTGGAAAATTCCTGCACCACTGCCTTCTTCAGGCCCTATTTCCTTTGCAATTGACGATGTATCAATATCTTCCTTTTCCTTTTTAAGTGATCTTCTAGATTTGTGCTTTCTTTTCTTGCCTTCACTTTCATGTGTATTGTTGAAGCTCTCTGTTAGAGATATGCCGGAAAGATTACCATTAAAAGGTTCTGCATTTTTGCCCTCTGGTTCAGTCAGACTACTGTTTTCATTCTCATTTACCAATCCAGATACAGAATCTGAAACTCCTTTTCTGTACTTCTGTCGGCTTCCTTTACGAGCCATTAGCCAGAAATGGTATCAAAAAATGGTCTAGCAACAAGCCAGTTCAACTCATCTCTAGTGCCCTCATTCGATATCAAAAGACCTGTGTCACAAGCAATTCATAAGTAAGCAAAATTTCAAGAAAATGCAAGCACCAACAAATAGCTTTAAGGTGCTCACTAGTTAGATAGCCAAACAATGAACACGTAAACAGTCATATCTTATTCCTCATGCATGTAACTCAGTCAAATTAGCTTTGTTCACCATTGGCAGCCGTGACTGCAAAGACAAAAGCATTCTCCCCGTGCTTATTCCCTCAACTATAGCTAAAAATAGACACTTCGGCTTTACAAAATTGGTAAAATTCCAGATCTAGGCAGATATACGAAAGGGAAGATTTTGTAACTATCATTCAGTCACTCATACTCCATCAGAAATCTATCATTTATCATTAACCACTTCTTCTTTCTCTGCATTATGCTGTCATCTTCCCTAGATTTCCCTTGATCTAGTCATGTTATCAGTAAAGCATTGTGTGCTCTCCATTACAATCACTTTCCTTAAGCAGGAAACAACTAATCATCCAATAAAAGGAGCAACACAAGGAATTAATAATGTTATGATCCAACATCGCCGATTTACTAGCACCAATCTCAAAAGACGAATCTGAATGAGTTTCTGCTATGTATTTAATAAGAAACATAAAATACAAGAGAAGTTATTGGTTATCCTTTAGAATCATATTGAACTTAACATATGGTATCTTTTCATTATATGTTAAACTTTTGGAGAAGGTAATCTTTTACAATGTAAAAAGTATCTATCTTTGGGAGAGTCCACTCAGGTCGTAAGGTAGGATAGAGGAACTGAATTAAACCAGGGCATAGCTTCAGCATGAGAATTTGGTGATATATCAATGTGAACTGTGCAGTAGAACAATACTTCTGCAATGCCACCTGAAGCTAACTTCCTAAAATCAGAGAATGAATGAGCACAAGTTTGAGCCTAGTTCTGTGCCTAAGGAAAAATTATAAGTAGTGCAATAAAAAAAATATTAAATAATGCAATCTGTACTTTGTGTGCCTAAACTTTTGTCCACTTATTAAAGTGTAGGACTTTTTTATAGCAAAAGAACATTTGCTGATGTAGAAGGGAAAGGTTATATAATGTGGACATGATGATATCAACTGAACACAGACGAAGCACTAAAAATCAGTGTTATTAAAGGCTCTTTCACGCTTATGCTTTGAAGCTTAGTTAAAGCCAGGTTGTGCACTTCACCTCGATAAAGTAGCACTTAAGTGTAGGCACTAAGGTGCAAAGGATGTGCATCATCACTAATGGGCTCTATCTCTAAGAGGGCAGCACTAGATAATAAATATATTTGGTAAACGATACATTTATTGTTAAAAAACGCTATGCATGATCTTTTCAATGACAGGAATAAGAAATTAAAATTTTGTATAATAAAACTAGCTCCAGAATACATAAACTACATCTTTTCATCTACATCAAAAATTCAAAATGGTTTTTAAACTTGATTGATATGATTTTACTTCATTTATTCTGCTTGATTTCATTTGTTCTTCATTAATGTTTTTCTTTGTTTAGACTCACGCTTAAATTCCGCGCTTTGCGCTTAAAGGCCCGACAGATTTGGCCTTTAACTGCGACTTACTTTTGACTATTTTTTTTTTTTTGGGCGACTAGGCATTTCATTAATTACCAAATGAAACAATACAAAACCGGCAAGACCAAAGCTCGGTCTACTGCTCCTAGAAACTGACCACTCCAACTATAAAGACAAAACTGTCTGAAATCTAGAAGCACACCTCCTAGGGAGAGTTTCTTCAAAGTTTCCATACTCAGACTAACAATTAAAACTCCTATTACATCAGACAGACTAGTTAATGGAAATATAACTTTTGAAGTAGACACCTAACGTTCTCTGATGTTCTCACATTGCAAATACATGCTATGCCTTTTGCAATACTATCACAGTGTCTCTTGCAAACTATGTTGCACACTCTCCAAAATGTTGGGCACTCGTGTCAGATCCTCCAGAAATACGCTACTTTTGGACGATGTATTTTTGTATGATCCAACACGCAACCGGTGATGTCTTCGGAGAGTCCAAGCAACATAGCTTGCAAATAACTTTGATTTCTTTGCTAACAATGCAGATTGTTGACATTATTACACTAAATATACCCTCGTAAATTGCTGTTGAAAAATAGATTCATATAGTTTCTCCATCTGTTATTGGACGTCGTATATTCCTTTTTGCCCCCGCCAAACTAAGCCCTCGTTTTCTAGTACAGCCAAAGATGAAATGACTTCCTCTTTAACTACCCCAACAAAGTAAAATTAACGAAACCTAACAGCATAATTTTTCACTTTGGCACCCACTTCACCAATTTAAGATTTTGTCGTGTGGCAACATTTTATGCTTAAAATCCGATATAGTCAGCCTATGGTTTTTAATTGGAAAAGAAGGAAGCAATACTTCATTTCTTGATGAGCTCATTTAATCTGTCAAATTGTGGCCATCACTTTTAATAACATGAATATATGTTTGTTAGGGGTCGTTTGGTATGAGGTATAAGAAGGTATAGTGCTGGTATAAAAATTTAATATCACCTTAATATTTCGTTTGGTTAGCAAAACCAGGTATAAATTATCCCGGGATTAAAATTAACACCGGGATAACTTATACCTTATAGAGGGTGGGGTAATTAGCACCGGTATAACTTATACATTCTTCTTACAAATTATGCAATTGTCATATTTAATACAATATACCAAACAATGGATAAAAAAACAATCCCAGCATAACTTATCCCGGCATAACTTATACCAGTATAACTTATTCCGGCATAAGCTGTATTCAAACCAAACGACCCCTTACAGTATTAGAGATACTGCAAAACCTGGATCCTATTCTGCAGAGATACAGTAATTTCACCCTCCCTGCACATCCTAATCTTCATAAAACACCAATAATGATCTTCATTAGTACCTTAAACTTCTTTCAAGAAAATATTTTAACCAGACATTTGAATTACAAGTAACACTGAAATTATAAGACTATTATACAAGCAGAAAACAAAAGTAAGAGGATACATTCTGTATCTATAGGGGTAACAACAACAACAAACCTTAAAATTCCACAAGTAGGGTCTGGGGAGGGTAAAGTGTACGCAAACCTTACCCCTACCTTATGACGGCACGGTACAGAGGTTGTTTCCGAAAGACTCGGCTCAAGAGCAACGAAAATGAAGCAATAAACAGACAATAGTAACAACACGGTAATAAGACAGTACACGGAAGCAAATGGTGCAATGTGCAATAATAAAGATCTAAGAATACAACACTACAAGAATAGAGTCAATCCTACTGGAAATAATGATACATCGTGTAATAGCAAGGGGTTAGGAATAGGAAAATATAAGACTAGTACTAATACAGTAATACTACCGGAAAGACTAGGCGAAACTCTAGACTGTCTGTCATCCCACAACCATAATTCTCGACCTCTACACCCTCCTATCGAGGGTAATGTCCTCGGTAAGCTAAAGTAAAGTCATGTCCTGCCTAATCACCTCACCCCAGTACTTCTTAGGCTCTCTACCCCTCTTCTGACCCGCCATGATCACCTCTCACACTTCCTAACCGGGGCATCAGAATCTCTCCTCTTCACATGTCCGAACCATCTCAGCCTTGATTCCCGCAACTTATCTTCCATAGGAGCCACGCCCACCTTGTCCCTAATATATTTATTCCTAATTTTGTCTTTCCTAGTATGCCCACACATCCATCTCAACATCCTCATTTCCGCTATTTTCATCTTCTGAACATGAGATTTCTTGACTGGCCAACACTCGGCTCCATACAACATAGTCGGTCTAACTACCGCTTTGTAGAACTTGCCCTTAAGTCTATGTGGCACATTCTAGTCATACAAAACACCAGAAACGAGCCTCCATTTCATCCACAGCGCTTCAATACGATGTGCGATATCCTCATCGATCTCCCTGTTATCCTGTATTACAGACCCAAAACTATCTCTCCTGGGATGACTTGTGTATCAAGCTTCAAGTCCACTTCTGCTTTATGTGCCCCAACACTGAACTTATACTCCAATTATTCTGTCTTCATCCTGCTCAACTTGAAACCTTTAGACTCTAGAGTCTGTCTCCACACCTCCAGCCAAACATTAACCCCGCAATGCGTCTTGTCAATCAGCATTATGTCATCTGCAAATAACATGCACCAGGGCACCTCTCCTTGAATGTGTCACGTCAACACATCCATCGCTAGGGCAAATAAAAATGGGCTAAGAGTTGATCCTTGATGCAACCCCATCACCACTGGGAAATAATCCGAGTCTCCTTCCACAGTCCTCACCCGAGTATTAGCTCCATCATGCATGCTCTTAATCATCCTAATGAATGCTACTGGAACAGCGTTAATCTCCAAACATCTCCATAACTACAGATAGACATTTTTAGCAGCACATGTCGATGCTGAAATGTTGGCCTCTCGAACTACCTACTGTTGTTTTTCTAACAAATAGAGTCCTGGGTGGCAAGATTTGGGAGCACGCTTTGAGGAATACTTGTCCTAAACTGGTTAAACAGAAAGCACAGATTTTGCACAGCTGTAATGCTAAGCGTTGGCTTGGCATATTGCCTAATTGGAATGCCCAAAAGGACAGACAATGGTCTAAGACATGATCAAATTAAAAGTTTTCAGTACTCAAATTTGATCAAATGGACAAATTATAAAATCCAAATTAATTATGAGACTGATCCAAGAATTGGAAATTGAAGCACTTCATCCAAAAGAGAAAGAACTGATCACGTTTTCTATTATTGTGCAATATAAGTAACCAGAGGATTAGATATTTCTACTCCAACACTAGCCTCCACACCCAAAACAAATGCCGTCCACCCAAAAAGAAAAAGAAAAGTTCATCGGTTGGTAAATTTGCTCAATTTAGAAAAGCACCGTTTTACAGCGGAACAAGAACCACCCAACAAGATTATGCGGCGCACATCATTGTACTAACACAAATATAAATACAGTGTTTATGTCCCATCAAAGGTCCTAAACAAATTACTATACTTTTGATATGATTCCATATTTTCTTAATTTTGAGCTAAAGCAGAATACCCTAGATATTAGACTAAACCCTTTGAAATATGAAATCCAAAAAAGAAGAAAAGAAATACATGAAGAATAAATAGACCCATATGTCAAAATATAAAACGCAAAGCAAGAAAAGCTTACTAGAACAGTTGAAAGGATGGAACAAGGCAGTGCGTAAATATGGAGCAATCGAACACCAAAAGGAAGAGATTAGGCAATTACAAGGACCACAGCTAATCAAGACTTAAGTCGAGCAGTCAGCAGTCGCTCGCATAGAGAGAGAGAGAAACCCAATAGTCTTCAATCCAAGCCCCCCCACTTCAAATGGTCTCTTCCGTAAATTTACTAGAGCACATGTTTATGTTGCCTTCCGAATCTTTAGATGGAATAAAAAGGTTTGTTTTTCTTTAAGGAAAAAAAAAAAGGCCAAAAAAACCCTTTGACACGAATTATTAGTTATAGCCTTAAATTATTCGTGGTCTTAATTACCCCTTAACTTAATATTTTGAGAGTCATTATCCCCTGATGCTAATATGGCAAAGAGTGTGGGTGCATTCGCCTGCCGCATGAATTTTTCTGTACATGTAGCATTTTCTTTTGAAAAATAAAATATATTATACATTCTTAAGTGTGTTACTTTTTTAGATAATTTTTTTCGAATACAATTTATAACAAAACATGGATAGAGCTACATTATTTAGGCTAAAAAATGTATTTGGCTAAAAATAATAAACTTTAGTTAATCTTTTTTTTTTTTTGAATTTGACTTGAAAATAAAACGAATTACTTGCATTATACACTATTTTTATTTCTTCTTTTGATGCAATGACTATTTATTTCAACTGTGTATTTTTATTTTTTCAGGTAAAATCTGTAAAAAAAAATATATTTTAGAGCACCATAATTTAGAGCTATATAAAAAATTATAGCCAAAATAATTAATTTCAAACTATATATTTTTTATTACATTTTAGATTCCTTGAATATTTATTTCAATTGTATAAATCCTTATTTTCATGTCAAATCCAAAAAAAAGATTAACTAAAACTTTATTATTTCTAGCCAAATGAAAAAATTTAGCCTAAATAATGTAGTTCTATCCAAGTTTTATTATAAATTGTATTCGAAAAAAATTATCTAAAAAAAGTAACATACTTAAAAAAGTAAAAATATATTTTATTTTTCAAAGAAAAGTGCCACATATACAGAAAAATTCACGTGGCAGGCGAGTGCACCCACACTCGTTGCCACATCAGTGTTCAGGGGGTAATGGCTCTCAAAAGGCCAAGTTGAGGGGGATAATTAAGGCCACGGATAATTTAAGGCTGTAACTAATAATCTGTGTCAAGTTTAGAGGGGTTTTTAAGTATTTTGCCAAAAAAAATCACATGTAAGGGGAAGGAGAAAACAAAGTAAAAAGGGGGAAAAATAAATGTAAACCTACAAAACTCACGTCAGTACAACTATATAATAATGAGACTTATATAGTAAAATGTTTGGTTTTAGTTTTGGTTTTGAACGTAGTGATTTTGGCTTTTATTTCTTTTGAAAATAAATTTCAAGCTTTTAAAATCAGTTTATTTTGAAAAGTATTTTTCTTAAGAGTGATTTTCAAAAATTACTTTTGGTGACAAGCAGTTTGTATTTGACTAATTAATTTGAAAAGTATTTTTGAGCATCAATTAGTGTTTCACCAAGCTTTTTTTTAGCAAATATACCACTAGGCAGACTACCTAGTAGTTAGTAATAAATAATAATCCAAAAATAAGGATCCAAAAATTAAGTCATATACCACGGACAAGAGGGGTTGCTCTGATGGTAAGCAACCTCCACTTCCAACCAAGAGGTTGTGAGTTCGAGTCTCCTCAAGAGCAAGGTGGGAAGTTCTTGGAGGGAAGGATGTCGGGGGTCTATTTGGAAACAGCCTCTCTACCCCAGGGTAGGGGTAAGGTCTGCGTACACACTACCCTCCCCAGACCCCACTAAGTGGGATTATACTGGGTTGTTGTTGTTGTTGTTGTTGTTGTCTAAAGAATGATAATCTAAAGCTAGAAAAATTGTAAAAGCTAAATATTACAAGTGGTATCATAGATAGCTTCCAACATACGGTGGTGTATATCCACAAGCCAAGCATGTAGCACCTCTAGCGCTCTCACCAGGCGCCAAATTTTGCATTCCAAAGGAGAAGACAAATGTGAATCTACAACAAACACCATCAATTCTAGGAGCTGTCCAAACTTCCAAATAGCACAACCGTACCATGTGAATGTGCTTGCACTTAGGTCTTCTGGAAACTAGCAATTCCAGTAGCATTATGAAGCAAAGAGTGCAAAAATTACATGTAGTCAACTGCCAACTCCAAGTGCTGCCATGACACCTCCAGATTGGGCATGTAACTACCAATACCATTGAATAGTGCCATAACAACACTCAGAATTCCAATACAGAACACTGAACATCGACATCCATTGGATCCCAGTTTGTTAACACAGTTAAACAGTTCTGGAGACTGTTATAGTGTGAAGCTATGAACAATCTGAAGACAAAACCTGCCTCCTACCATGCAGAAGTTTAATATATGAAAATGTCTTAATCTAGACAACATGACATATTCCGCAACTGCGGTAGCTTAGCTGTTTCTGCAGTCTCGCACCTGGGACCTAATCCTTGCAGGTGTGATTACACTAGAACTTGAAATTCTTCAGCATTTCTACTAAGTCTTAACATGGTCCGCACATCATCCGAATCACACCGAGGCCCCTGGGACCTCATCCAAACATACCAACAAGTCCTAAAACACGATAAAACTTAGACGAAGCATCAAATCACATCAAACAGTATCAAAAATCATGAATTGCACCCCAATTCAATCCTAATGAACTAATGATCTTCCAGCTTCTAAAACTAATGCCGAACCATATCAAAACAATTGCGAATGACCTCAAAATTTGCATACTATATACGGTCAAAATCGTATGCCTTCGATTTAACGGCTCGAGGGTCCATCATAAGCCTGAGCCCGATGGATCAGATCCGAGCTCGAAGATAGTATGCAATGCCTGAGGATCAAAGTACAATGGACATCCAAGCCGGGTATGCTCGACCCCTAAATAATGTCGTTATGGATTTCTAACAGAATGAGCGAGATTCCTGCCACGTCCCCAAAATTATGGCGCAAATTCCGAAATAGGATTGTATGATTCCATACTAAGCGGTTAGACAGTTGTGCCAATAAGATTCTTTACTATAAATGGAAATGTACATTATTTAGGGTCCCCCTATTATATAAAGAGGACACCAATCATTTGTAACATCATCTAATCATTGGCAAAGAATATACTATCTTACCTATTCGCTCATTGTTCATCAGAATTGTCCTTTTATCCCTACTGCTCTTACTTTACTGTTCTTGGTTCATCTCGAGGTTGCTGAGATCGAGATCGATACTACTTACTAACTTGTCTACTGGTTTGGTCTTGCTTATTTTCCTTCATCTATACTTCATATTTAATTTCTTGATTATTAATTGGTATTGAACTGAATCACGTATCTATAAAACCACAAATCAAATTTAATTGTTACTCGTATTTTTGAGGTAAACACATATAAGCTTCAAATGACACAATTGACCTATTTCAACTTCTGGAATGACAATTTGAACTCAGTAT